TTTTTATCGCGAAACTCGCTCGTCAATTGCTTAATTGTAAAAATAAATGATAATGGAAGCAAGAAAGTCATAAGCGCGCGATGTTATTTCTTCCGGGAACGGGTCATCCCGGATTTATCCCCGTCACGAGATATTGCTCGTTACGTAACTTGTGCTTCTGTTAGGACGGACAAGAAACACTCAAAAAAATATTTCGCTGATGTAGTTAGATTTCTAGATATCGCAACAAAAATGTATCGCTATTTTTCGTATCTGTGAAAACATTGTTTGTCACATATAGAATTTATAGCAGTAATGTTCTAGCAATAGCTTCTGAAAAATTTAGGTACCATTGCTAAATGTTATTCATTGCATGATCTAACACGTGATTGATCTTATATAGATAGGCGCTTTAGAGAAACTTTCTTTTTAAAGTTCACAAACAATACAGATATATATTCTGTTTCTGTCATCTAAACTGATTAAGTAATTACATATGCAATATCACAACAGTTGCTAATTATTTATCTGTTTTAGTTAATTTTTTACACTTAGAAAATTTTAGCTATTATTGCAAGATTATTTTTTTGAGTGAAGGCTGCGCTGCCGCACCACCTACGTAAAGTGATCGCTATATCGGCGCGAGTTTAATGAGAATTTTAACGACTGAACGGGGGAACAAAAAGAGGAAACGGCAAAGCAAGAAAAATGTGATGGATGCAAACGGACAGATGAGCGGATGCGCGGAACGAAGCTAATCGACCCTTTTTGCAAAGCGCTTCGCGGCGACGCGGTGCGTCAAAATGAAAAACGACATGAGCATTTTCGGTTATGCCGGGCACGTGACCGTGACATTCGTAATATGCCAACACCGCGGGCTTCTTATCGGGTTGCAGGATTGATCCGGACGCCGGGCCTCCTCTCCAAGGCGTACACAGCGATTTCAAGCTGGCACGATTCCCATCTGTGATCGCCTCCTCGGAGTTACGCCTATGGAATTCTATCCGGAATCCCGGCAGCCCGTATCGTAACACGCAGTCAATTTGTATGCCCGCGCATACGTACGTACGTAGGGCATGTAATACATGGTATAATACACGCGACGAATCCGCGCTATCAGAAAATGCCCACGGCTACGGGCTGCCGAATACGTACGTGTCCTATCCGTGTGGCCGTCACTCGCACACCAACGCCTGGCGTCGGGTTATCTGCAAATGGGACCGAGAATTATGTAGAGCAGATCGATGATCATAATCGCTATTGATTAATTCTACGTGATACACTGCGGACAGAGCACTCTCGCGGTGATTACACCGTCTGATACTGAATAATTGTAGCCTCTGAGAAAGTCTGAGGTAGCGCGACACTCGATGTGATCGCGGAATCTCCTCGATGCCTTTTCTCGGTATCGAGAATATTGCTGCAATTAAAATTTTGAGAAATAAAATTTTACGTGTGAAAGAGCGCGATTTGTTAAAGAGAAATTATTCTTTTAAATCTTAATAATTTTTGTAACAATACTAAATAGACTCAGCGGCACAAAAGGTTTAACAAAATTTGCGGCATTTGTTGAAGATAAAACTTTATTTTGTCATGCAAATGGAGATGTCAACCTGCTCACTTACTTAGCATAAGTACAAAAAGGAAGTTGTAAAGGACGAAGAGCGAAGTCACGTTTTGAGAGATCCGACTACACCGTCGACTTATAGTCGTGCGAAGAAATAGTATGTATTGCCAGCGAGTTTGCAAGCGAGCGTAATATACTTTAAGCTCGCGAACAGTACAATATACTTTGTGTTGGCGCTTTCTCTACGAAAACCGGTTATCGTTTAGCCGCGCTTACGCGCGTAACTATTTGCGCAACTACCAGGCTATCTCGCACGAATGCCGGCATGCGGACACGCGCATTTTTGCGGGCTGCGTGCGTGCCGTCGCATACACATCGCTAACCGCGCGTGCGATGCATAGAGGAACGGAGGGCTGCAAAGTCGACATATAGACATATATGCGCGCATCGGGGGAATCCCAAGGCGGCGGCTCCCGAGTCCCCTCGGCATTATCGCCGACTAAATCCCGTTTACACCGGCGTTTATCCCCGACTAAAATCCGCTTATGCCGCGACGTCGACGGCAGCCGGAAATCCTGAGAAGAACGGCCTAGAGACACGTCATACGTTGCAAATGAGGGCTTCGATTTTAAAAGCGCGCGTCGCGGCGGCCCCCGATAAAATGCGCGCCGAGACGTGTGATCGTTTCCGGTTGTAAATTTCATCGCGGATAGCTATCCGACGCGCACTCGGCATTCATGCATATTTTTTACGTTCCTCACATTTCCATATTTTGGGAATACGAAAAATGAGAACGTGTGCGTTTTCCAATTGTATCTAAATCGTTTTCTATTCTACGAGGGATAAAAATCACAAGCGCGCAATAAATAAATAGACGAAAATAGAAGAGGGAAATATCGGTGTAATTCTATAAATTTCATTCCATTTTTATGAATTCGTAGGCGTCCATAAAGTAGAACAAGAGCTCGCCCTTCAATCGCGCCATTCCGGTGATGGAAAATTTTGCCTTTTATTCTACACCTTATATTTCCTTTGAATCAAACGTTATTGTATATATTGCAGAAACTTGATAAGAACTTATCAACCGTAATATAGGATAGAATTTCATTCACTCCGACGGCACGATAACTTTGCAGAACTACGGAAATTCTACATAAAGTTGTAGAACCATCGGATATCTAAAAGAGTCTCCATAGAGACATTGAAATGCTTGTAATGTTATAAACTCTTAATTCAAAGTTTATAGATTTTTATTGCTCATACACCCTTTATTTATTGTGGTGACAGACCGTGCAATTAAATTCAGAACACGAATTAAAAATTAATGAATTTTGAAAGACGATGTGACGAAAAATAGTTACGGTGAAATACATTAATTGATATAAATTCGCTGTGCTAAAAGTAGGACCATTATTCGTCCCATATAGATACCCTTTTTTTTCTCTGCACATTAATGGATTAACTGCACCCTACGTCATCCCATGTATGAAAATTTTAGGTGAAATAAAATGCCATTTGTATCAGTGCCATTAGCTCGACGACGAGGAAAATTAGAATAAGCTACGCACATTATTTTAAGATCACAATGAGCATTAATATTCGGAAATTACAATACAGTACATTAATGTAAAATAAACCGAATTTTTTTAATCCTTCTCTTGATCAAACGGTATATAGTGATAGATTCATAATTACCTGTAATACGTGACTTTATCGTTGTACACAATTGCGCGACGGATCTGCAGGAATTGGTTTGTTTGCGGATGGCCAGCGGAAACAAAATGAACTGTAAACTTTACGTCGCGCGAGCAACGCGCGTTTATTTAAGCAGCGGTCAAATTATGCAAATCGCAGGCGCCAATTTGATCGGGATAAAGCCAATTGCAGATTCGTTTGATTGTGATTTATTTCCTCTTGATATTCACGCGAATCCGCCAATTCGATTTTCGTCGACCACGTCGCCCGATTACTTGTTTGCGGCTTTATGAATTTTCGTCTCGTTTGCATCGTTAATGTGGCGAACAACGAAAAACATTGATATGAGTAAAATGGAGCAAAAACACGCACGCATGATAATCCACCTGTTTTTATTTGTTGAAATAAGTGTTGATGAAAATAAAGGGCGCGTACAAATATTTCGACAAGATATAAGCAATCAAATATACGAATTGTCTACTCATGTTTTATACTTGTCTCTATATAAAATGGAATATTAATATCTGTCAGATATAGATGACATTTGCAAGCAAATACTTTAAAATACAAAATGTAGCAAAATATAACGTGCTTTTAGACTCTTTCGACTTTTATTTTATAAGTGTTCTTGCTTCTATTTTCCGGTAAAAGCATTTGTTTTATATTTTTTCGCACAATGTACTCTTTTGACATTGTTGATACTAACATGATTCTCATAATGTATCATACTTTAAATTATTTTTAAAGACATAGAAGCATAATAAAGCGGGAATTTTAATATTTATTAAGTCGACATTGTGAGCAAAAGAACTACGGTGGCTTTTGTTGAAGAACAAATTAATGGTAAGTGCCTGCTTAAGTCAAGGCCGTAATTAAGCGTTTGCATGAAACATTGCGTGATTATTAAGGATCCGTTCGTCTTTTATCTCTCATTGAAAGAAACTCTCTGAAAAATAACGTGGAAGAAAACTGCGGTTTCTCGCGCGGCAAGAAATTTCCATCTAAGGACATTACTTCGGATCGCAACGTGTAAAATTCGTTTATTTCTGCGCTCTCGCTCGCGGCCGTTCTCTCCTTACGCCTTTGTGCGAATATTGCCGTGTACTTTGCTCTTATTATGGCGCATGGCGGGATAAAGGGGTTGCGTGGCCGCTTAAGAGGATGGAAAGCATTTACGCTGCGGAACTACTTTACCGGAATGCGGGGAAGATCTCTCACGTTCAGATCGTAGATTGCCCGATAAATGTATAACACATTCCGATGGTAAGATTACACTAAACGTCAGTAAGATTAAGAGGGCGAGTTGCAGAATACTCGACTATCTTTGTATCCTCCATTGAAATAATTATTCTGCTGAAAAAGAAATTAAGAGGTTCTTTAAATAATATTTAGTATATCTAAATTCTAAGAATCATTTAATTCTTTAATCAGAAGATTTTCAGTCCTCCTGAGAGCTTGCAGAAGTCGACTCTGCATTTAAATGACGAACAAAGTTTTCTCTTCCCATGCAATCAAGCTATTCTCTATTTTACACGCGCAATTAAATCGTGCGTTTAATTAAAAAGATTGTAAGATATATTATTATTACTCACTACAGTGCTGTTGTAGATACATAATTGCAATATTGTCTTATTCATCTTTTCAAGATCATAAAGAAGGTAAATTATATGAAAATACCAGGAAAAATTATAAATTGCGTTCGGCTTTGTTGTCTCAGAAATTCGTATCTTTAAATGGACCGCATTATTTTTCAGTTTCCAAAATTTTTGAAACGATTACACATGAATCCATGATTAAATTTATCTGAATCTTACGCGATTAATTAATTTTGCGAATTCTGCTGTTTTACATAAATTATAGGTATTCTCATATTCGTCGCGCTGCAGCGCTTGAAAACTGTAAATAGAATTTAAATATCAGACTCGATTATGCATGCATTTAAATGTAGCATTATTGATTTTTATAATTTACATAGCTTTATTCTTTTTTAGGTGACGGAAACGTCAGTTTCGAGGAATTTGTCGAGATTGTCAGCAACATCGGTGCGAGCACGGCGGCTCCGTCGGACCAGCATCAGGAGGAGCAGGAGTTGCGGGACGCCTTTAGGGTGAGCGTAAAAAAAAGCGTAATTCCACGTTGTTTATCTTATTTGGATCTTTGAATCACGTGGGCGACAGCTCTTTCATCCCGCATTGGTCCACGCGATCGCCAGATAAATTCTAATGATGGTCTTATGTTAGGTCTTTATGCGAAGCGCGCCTAATATCGACCGTGGATTTCTTGCAGACCAGGCAATTTTCAACCGGATTACAGCGATTGTTTTCAGTCAACTTTCCTCCTTACACGAAGGAAGTGAGAGGATTTTCTCGAACATTCTTGAATGAGAGGATAGAGCCGATTTCTTTCAAAGATTAGGGCAAAGTGACCGCCAGCTTGCAAACTGCGCCTCGGTAATTCCTTAAGAACCGACATTGTTCACGAAATGCAAAAGTTTATAATGGCCACGGCACGCGCTATGAATTCTTGAGTGTTTCATGCATACTTTATGCATCTTACTAATAAGTTTTCTGCTTTATGGATGTTTTATGGTTAAATGATGACGCACGTTTAATCCCACCCCATCGTCGATACCAATATGTAGCTTAATCTTCATCTTCCGAAGAGCTTAAAATTTAAAACTATTCTAGTAGAATTATCGAAACGGCTCAATTGAAATATTTTTTACATGCATTGTAAGACAGATTTAAATTCTTTAAATTTTGAGAAAGAATTCTTTCCAGATTCGATTTTATGATTATACTTTAGTGCGATTTTTTTTATGGCCCTCGATATTGCTTTTATTTTATGGACTACAACAATTGGATACAGTCTTATTACTTTGCACATAGCTGAAGAGAAAAGACTTGTTTCAAGCTCAAGAGATAAGACAGCAATAAATAAATAATAAACAAGGTAGCAAATAAATCTGATTTATACGAAAGAGTTTGTTCGCGAGGGATGATGAAATAGCGATTGGAAAACATAAAATTTTAAAGTTGAATGGCTCGCGGGGAGTGCAATCTTCGATCTTTTTGTAATAAAATAAATTCCCAGCCCGCACTGCTTACCTCTTATCGAAATTTCCAACACGTTCAGTACGAATGTGAAAAATGTATAGAGCTCGATGACATCGACCTCGCAATACTCTCAGGTATGTATGTATAATGCGGTTATTTAAAGTGGCACGTGGAAGGATATGAGGCACGGGATAAAGGAAATCTTTACACGGCGCAACCCCCGCGCGACAAGCAATGCCGTGAGAGCGACATGAAATACGTATACATATATATGTATCGCGAGTAAACGGCTCCATGAATGGTTGAGCAGAAATTGCATACATATTTGCGCTATTTCAAATGAAATTGCATCCAAACAGTTAACGTTTTGAGAAATTTCGCTTCTTACGACAAAAAAAAAAAAATAAGACGGAAATTCTCCAACTTGTGTCACTTAAGAATTCCGCTTTATATTTTTTATGTGTCGTAAATCAAAATGTATAAAAGAGATCAGTGATTTCGGTAAAAACAGAATAATTTTTTAGTTGAAAAGTTATGTGCGAAAGTTGCTTGAAAAATTACACGATCGAATTTCATCGAATTCAGATGATATCGATGCGACGTAAAAATATCGGAATCGGATTATATGCCGACTTTATGGGCGCGAAACACTGGGAGATAAAGGGATCACAAAGCTTTGCGTTTTCTTGCTTGTTGTCAGTGAAGATTTTCTTTTATGAATAATGCATCTTCCCATCGTACATGTACCTTTCGCTTTACTTCAAACTACAGATAAACCGGGATCAGCACAAAATATTCCGTTTAATGCGACACGCTTCCGCAAGCGGTTGCTGCAAGAAAAATGCTCTATTCGATTGTACGGAATACTAATTACGAGCGAAATTAATTGCATTTCACGCGCGCCTAATAAAACTTCGAGATTCTCTCGACAAGATCGGACAATGGAACTTCAATATATGCAGCACTCATGCACGTAGAAAATTGATGTTTAAGGACTGAATTTGCGAAAAATTTTGAAAATGAGGAAAATAAATCTACGGGAGGGAATTTCGCATGAGATAGACTCGTAAAAATACACTTGCGAGGGGGATACTCGTAGAAAATGGGCAGAAGAGGGTTACGGAGGGTGGCGGAAAAACACGGCGAGTGTCCACTTGTGCAGAAGCGCACTCGATCGGTGTACAGTCCTCTTACAAGTGCGCCAGTGTTTGTTCGGGCTTACCTTACCTTGTCGACTACATTCGTAGTCACCGCCCGGTCCAATTCACCCGCGAAGAACATACGACACTTGATTTTACCGGGTGTCCTGGATCTAATTCTCCCGGAGCTGACCTCGCTCCGTCTAAGACAAGCGTGTTTCGGCTTTCTAACCGCATCGCAAACCTCCGCCGAAAATGCCGAACGGTCACAAATCGTGCAAGAAGCGCAAACGTGGTATATATAAACGGAAAGAATTCTCTTTCAATCGAGTACATCCTGGATTTTACATTTTAATCAGGATTTTAGGAGTCTGAGACACTTTCGTCAGATTTCACAGTTGAGTATATTTTATGGATTTATGTTTTATTTCATTCGCGGTGGATTTTTCAATTGAACGCGTTCTGGTCTCAGTGTACGTGAGCGAACTTCGAGACCTTCTTCGATGGGTCGTCCTTTGAAGGAGACGGCGGCGAGAAGTTACGCCGAGCAGTTTAATTCCGCTCATTCCGTTGAGTATGAGAGCGATTATAATAATTCCATTAAAGTCGCTAAATCTTAGAAGCCTTATTAAGATCGAGGGGCTAAAACGACGACGAAGTCGTGCTAATCCTGAATATTACTCATTGAACTTCTTGTCGGGCAAATGAAAATGATACTCGCATGCCTCGCGAAGTCATATCGAAATGGGGAACGCGATTCGCGCGAGGTTTACTTGAAATTCTTCCTCGATCATCACGATCTTTTAATCTCTCTCCCACGAGAGTAGTTCTCACCTACGGTGGGAATATAACGCCTATTGGTGGAAATAAACGGGGGTTTTCCTCGAAGAAGAAGGAGAAGAAGAAAACTTTTGTCTCCCGCACTTCGCGCGTGATGCAATCACGGGGTAGATTAAACCGACGCGATTACCGTCGCTTTTGGGAATTCGCCGATCTTCCTGCGAGTTTTATCTCGATTAAAGATGTACCGCAGCTCAACGCAATTCGCTTCCAGAAATAAATGAGTTTCGCGTCAAGGTGCTCGAATAACCAATACAATCCGATTTACCGCGATACCGATAAGAGGAAGTTAAAAGATTTTACTTCCGTGGACGATATATTTCATCCAAATTGGATTAAACTCGGATCCTGATTAAACCGGCAATTGCATCTTTGTTTGCCAATTATAAACACTTCGTGCATTGCACGATAACATACGCGTTATTGTAAATCGTAATTTAATTTATTACTCACTAAAAAAGTTTTCGCTACGTAAATGTCTAGCGATAAAGGGAAAACCATTTACATTCAGTTTATTAAATTAAATACAAAATTCCGAGTGCGCGATAAGAGTTTCACGCATTAAAACCAGATCGTCGCGTCGGGATTTCGCGAGTTTCGCACGTCGCTTAATATCGCGCCTTCGCGAGTTGGCTATGGCTTATCCTGACTGACAATGAAAGGATCTTGCGTAGCGACCTGGTTGCATCGTACAGCTTCTGTCCCGGAAATACGCCGAAAGATTGTAAACCGCTCCCAATCCTGGCTGGCTTAAAATGGAATTCAAGCGGCGAGGCCAAAACGAAGTACAAAAGCCGACCCGGAATACAGAACTCGTCTTAACAACGTTCTGCTGCGCAGATCTTGGCTCGATTAACCGTACCGTTTAAAAGCGCAGCTTGATCACTCAAATATTCCACGCTGTCAATTAATTTTTCGCGTGGACTCGCGACGAGGAAAATGAATAGGTCAGCCTGAGCGCGTTGACTTTGGTAGGTAAATACCGCAGCAGTTTGGGGCGACTTAATTAATCCACTTTGGTCTAATTTCGTCCATCCGTATTTGCCTTTAAGAGACGCACTTTTGGGACCCGAGAGTTGAAACGGATAGACGACTCCGGTCGGAGTTTCTTCTCGTCAAATAGAAACGAATGCGGTAACTTAATACGCGTGGAGTAAGAACGGACCGCACGGGCCAATTTCCCTCGTCGATCGCCTCCTTTTAACGCGCATTTCGTTGGTGCGCCTGCACAGTTCCTTCGCGAACATATATTCCGAAGTTCCAGCCACGGTAAAAAGCACCGCGCTCGAATGCGCCGAGAGTGCAGGTTTCTCGGCGTAAAAGCGACGGCCCCTCCATTAACCGTACACTGCCACTGGCTCGAAACATTCGCAACACGTCTCGTTTCCGGCAACATCTTCTCAACCTCCTTCGCATCTTATTCTCCGCCGGAAAGACGTACATCTTTTTCGAAAGACGGAGTTTTGTCCGCCACAAAATCTCATTCACCATTCACACATGCCTCCATTCATTCGCGCTTATTCTCAACCCGGTCACATTTTTCCGTTTCAGCACTCCCGTCAGCGCGCGTCCCGCCAACGCTTCCCACCGACATTCTCCCTGCGTCCGAGACTCGTGACAGGAAACGCGGCGCGTCCAGTTACGATACTCGCTCTTGTTTTCGCGATGCCAACAAAGACGAGGCTCTCGATCTCGTTGCGTAGCCTTTTTTCCCCCTTTGTTCGCCACCCACGTTCGGTACGTTTAATTCCTTCGCGTTGAAAAGCTTTTATTCATTCCATCTAGATGATTATCGAAAGCGAAGGAGAATAGACAGAGATTAATTAATCGTTACGGGTTTAAATAAACGTGTAATCGCATTTGTACAAGTATTAGACCTATCTTTTCTTTTCTTTTCAAATCTTTTTGTTTCGTTTAGCTGCGTCACGGCAGGAATAAAAGACATAAAAAGAAATTTAAAAAATAATTAAAAATTGTAAAAAGAAATATAATATTAATTTTGGTTAAATTTTTATTATATTCTATAATTAAATTCTTTCTTTGTAATATTGATTACCTTTTATTTAAATCAT